TTTCCTCCCTTTTTCCCGTGTCGGTTTCGATCGGCCGAGAGATTTTCGCGGGTATTCCCGTTGTTACACGGTAATTGGATTTACGACCGCGTGTTTTACAAAAACTAGGGACCCGGCTCGGATAAACTCGAGCGTTCACGGGGCGGGCGGCGCGCCGCGTCTGTGCACGACGCTTAATAATTGGGAATTTTCGTGTAACGCGTTTAATACGATTCCTAGGTGGAAATGAACGGGCGGCGGGTAATTTTCCCGGCATAATCAGGCTTGCTCTGAATATCTGTCGGGAATAATGCGCCCGTATGTGTTCGCGCGTTATTGTTGAGTGATTATTCATGATTTCACCGTGACCATGAATCACCCCTCTTGGTTCGCGCACGATGCGATGATGCACGGAGATGTACTCGTGCACGAACCAGCGGTATCAATTATTATAAGTTCTTTAATAAATCCCACGGGAGGAGAAAACTATGCGGAACTGCTTCTGTGAGCCAAATGTGGTCCAAGTATAGAAGGCCGATTGCATTTCTTGGGCCATTTTAAAAAGGAAATTTCATTTCCTGGAGTATCAATTATTATAGTCTTCATGGCTAACAAATCTGTATTTATTAGAGAAGAAAACTAGAACTTGTTTCTATGATAAAAAAAAAAATGGCCCAAATATAGGAAACCAATTGGAACTTGAGAAGACATTTGTAAAAAGGAACTTAACCCCTTGCAACTATGAAGGAGACTCGTGAAGATTTCTAGCTGAATTTAATAAAAGTTAATATTATTTGTATGTAGGTTAACGAGTATCTTTCTGTTATCACCTTCGAAAATTACGTCACGACTTGGGTACTAAAACAAAGTGAAGAATGGTAATTGAAAAATACCTTATTCGCGCTAATCGAAACTCGGAGAATGCGCGCTGTATACCGAGCGTGTGCCGATGAAACTGAAATTAAACGTTGTTTTGAAAGGAGCTGTTGTTACTCGTCTTTTTTATGGCCAGGCTCCTTTTGTGTTGGCGATATCTTTATGGGGAACGATTTAATTAAATCTCGTTGATAGCCAATGGGAAATGTTCGGTCGCAGCCCATCTGGAAGAGGCACGAAGCGTCTACGAGACTTATCGAGTCAGGCTATTTTCTATTTATGGGGCCGATAAAGGGGCTTATTTGGTGGGTAGCTATTTATTTTCAAGGGTCAGTGATAAACCTTGCTCGAATGTGATAGATCGTGGTAGAAAAGATGGCGAGCCAGAGTCCGTAATATTTTCGTCTCTATCCTGGGCCACGTGAACGTACCATTGGTGCAACAAACTTAACTAATACTGACAAAATAAGTGTAACTTAATCCTAACGAACAGGCTACTGGAAGTTGTAACGAAGTTTCTATATCGCGAATGTTTAGCGTTAGTTTGACCAAGAAATTAAGAAGCAAAAGCGTTTCCGTTTGAAAGTCTCTGGTCTATATTTCCTCGGTTCTCGAGATCATTTCTGGCATTGAATAAAAAACGTAAAGATTGTTACAGCGTACACTTAATTGCTAATTATACCGTGGTCAACGACGCGTTACACGGTTTCTCGTAAAACCCGGAGCTATTAATTTCAACGAGTTAATTGCTAAAACTTTTACATTTTACGTATAATAAACACAATGCATGAGCACGAGTTACATTTAATTACGCGAATTGCACCACCGGCAGCCAGGAATGTCGGGGGACGAGACGAATTCGAAGTTCGCGTTAAATTGAATTTTTCATTCGATTTACATGACGCGGCCGTGCAAAGATAAAAAAAGAAGGATACGCGCAGAAGGCTCTGTTTCCTTGGCAACAGTAACGAGATCGAGCAAGAACGGGGACCCGGCGTTCAACTCGTTCCGCTGCAAAAAACATTCAGTCTAACAAGTTAGTCATCCTGTTCGAGTTAGCATAATTTAGCGACGCCATCGTCGTAACGTTTGAAAAGCGTCGTTTGACGTTCGGCGTTCACGCTTCCGAGAGACCCCGGTCCCAGTTTCCCGTTTCCGGTCAGCGATCAGGGTCAACGCCTCCCCGCTTTCCGCAGCCGAACCGCGGTTCGCCTTCGACGCGGTGCGCAACGCGTGAAAAAAGCCGTTTAAGTGGATCGCATTGAAAAATTGCCACCGTAAACGCTCCTTCGCTCGTCGGTCCCCTATCGCTTCTTATCGCCACTGGCCTCTATATATCTCGCAACGTGTAAAAGGCGGCTGGGCAGCCGGTCACGCGCGCGTAACAACTTCCTCGCAATCCGAGCGAATCGTGGATCGATTCGTGGAGGCCGGCTAATCTCGAAATCCGCTCGCCCGGACGAGACTCACCGGTCGTCGGGCTGACAGATCGATGCGAAAGGTTCAAAGAGAGTGGCAAGGTCGTGGACTGTCTCCTCCGGCAGTGATCGGGGATCGTTCGATCGAGCGATCGATGATAATACGAGGCACGCGCAATTAGTCGAATCAGCCGGTGGCCTCCGCGCGTCTTTATTGACCCAGTCCCGCGAACTTCTCAACAAAGACGACTCTGTCGACGCTTCCTCGCGCGTTCGTTAATTAAGTCACGGCGCGCCGGGACCGGGATGCCGAGCGGTTCGCTTTCGAGGGGCTCGCCGCGGGTGCGTGCTCTCGTGTAAGTACAAGCGGCCGCGCGTGCTTCGAGTGCGTTCACGCACTTTAACACTGATTGTCGCTCTCGCGGGCAAAAACCACTGGTGGGTAAGAAAGGGAACGCGAGAGGTGGAACGCGGGGGACGGGCGGTTGACAGGAGAGAAAGGTCCGTAGAAAGCAAGAACCGGGGTCCCGACGCGACGCGACGCGACGCTTCGCGTGAGAGCAGATGAGGTGAAACGGGGACGCGAGAAAGATGAAAAGAGGAAGAGGATCCGGAGCCGCGGCGCGATTCCTAAATGTATATCGCGCGTGGTGAACGCGCGAGCGCGGCCGTCTCCTCTTCTAACAAATTGCCTCTTTTGCTCGTCACCAGCCGTGCAACTTGTCCATAACTACAAAGCTCGCCCGCGGCAACTTTTCACCAAAGCTTTTTGCTCATCCTTCCATGGCACCCGCTCTCTGTTTCTCTTTCTCTCTCTCTTTCGCCCTTTCGCCCTTTCTTTCCCTTTCTATCTTTTCCTTGCGCACGTCGCTCCGTTGCTCGGCGTGCTCGGCCTTTTCGCCATCCTCTTCCGCCTCCTCGACGAGAGATCACAGAAAAGGCAATATAAAACGCGGCTGCAAACGACGCAGGCAACGCGTCCGGCCAGACCAGAGAAATATTTTGCGATGCTAATCGCAGTCTCGACTCGCCACTTCCACGTGTACCGTTGGCCGCGAACGTTGCTCATCCTTTGTTTGCGCGCCGTGGTCGAGCAATAATTTTAATCATGGCCGAAGGGGCCATGCAAGGCCTCCGCAGAGGAACATCGCACCCGAGGTCCTCCGGGCGCAACGACTTCTAACGGCATCCATTGGACGCGATATTGGCACCCTTTGATGTGTCCTGGATCGCGTGGCCCGCCTCGGAATCCGCTGGTACAAGGAACTTATTTTTGTACTCGGAAACTGGGATTCAGGGTACTCGTCGTTTAGGTGGTCCAACAGAGACCCCGGTGATCTAGATTCATTCTGTTTGAAGGTCGGACGGCTTTTTTAAAGATGAAAGGTACCACGTTTAATAATTTAATGCTTCATTTACCTCTTCTTCGGTGATTTAAGTTGGAGGGTACAGAAATTGTAAAGACTGAAGAATATTTAAAGATAGAGATTCCTCGGTTTTGTTTAAAACTGATGCTATTTATCTTTCTAAATTAGTGACACACTTTTGTAACTTGTATTTTCGAATTTGTTGATATTTTCACTGAAACGCGCTGCAGCTAAACAAAGTAAGAACTAAATTACTTGAAAGTTGAACACTTGAATCAGTCTGTACTTTCTTTATTGCAACGGCACATTACATCAACGGTATGCACGTTCGCGTAGAAAAACAAGACGCGCGAATTAAAAAAAGTTAAATCACCGCGACCAATTAAAGCCGTTATGCGCGCCGCATTCAGGAGTATCTATCGAACTGCGAAGAGCGCGGTCGGCGCGTCGGTTAAACGTCCGCCTCGTTTCAATTCAGCGGCGAGCGAATCAGTTTTGTCACGTTTTTGAAACGGTATTAAATTCTAGCGTTACAAGCCCCCGGAACGGATCTGTCACACTCGACCGATTTCGCCGTAATGTTTTGTTCGTT